GGAAGGAGAAAAGAAAAGAAAAGAAAAGAAAAGAAAAGAAAAGAAAAGAAAAAGAAAAAGAAAAAGGAAAAAGAAAAAGAAAAAGAAAAAGAAAAAATGATTTTCTGCAGGGAGTATTAGCTTCTAATAATAGGTGGATCCTTGCCCAAATTTTTCTTGGAAAATCAGAAACCCAATTTGGGCTATACTTCCCTATTACATACTTTAATCCAGAACATTCCAACTTCTATTTTTGGAAACCAGTAAAACTAGGCAGAAAACAAAAATAATTATGACGATGGTTTTCATGTCTTCATAAGATGCTTATCCTAATTTTTCTATACCTCTTGATAAGACCATAAAACAACTACTGATTCACAGGATTGATCACTATTGTGTTCTTGTTAAATATGTTTTAAAAATAATCATAGCTTAGAAAAATATAAAGAACTCTTGAAGTTCTATTCCTAAAAACACTCGCCTTACAAATGATCACCAGTGAGTGACTTGCAATAAGTAGATAAATAAGTTCTGGAGTGCTAATGCACAGCACAGTGATTACAGTCATCCTGTATTATCCTCAAACTTGCTAAAATACTAGATCTTAATTACTGACACCACAGAAAAAGAAGAGATAATTATGTGAACTGACTGAGGTGTGAGCTAACATTACAATCTTCATTTCAGAGTTAGAGGTGGGTCTGGATCTGATGGGTTACGTACATCCCCAAAGCTTAGAAGGATGTAGGAACAAGGAGTCAGTCAGATTTGGATCCCGGATTCCTCCAGGATCAACTGACTCCAAAAATTCTCTTCTTTACATTATAACAATTTCTACTATGCTCTAAGATATTTTCTGCTTTATCTTACTTGCCCTCTGATTTTAGTCTCTTCAGAAATTCTAGAAGCCTCACTTTTTCCTCACAACCACACTTCACACAGACTTCAATGTTTGAAGCTCATTACTTTCACTTCCACTGTCATTCCCTCATCAAATGTTTTTGCCTCCTCTTTGGATGTAATTTTCTTTGTATATCTACATGTTGACAGGGTCTTTCTCTCAGTTCAATCGATTTAAAAGTTTACATTTTTGAAGACTCAGCTGATGTGAAATCAATCTCTAACCCTGCCTCCAATGGAGAAAACTTACACTAGTTAGGTAAAATGTTCATGAATTATACTCATTGTTATAAATCATAGTCCCTGAGGGTGTTCTCTATTATGGTTTTGCACGGCTATTATCAATTTATAAAAGATTATTGACTATGATTAATACTTATATAATTATACTTATTTTAAGGCTATATTTCAAAAAGATTTTTCAAGGTCTATATAGGCTGGATTCCAGCATAGCTTCAAGACTTCACGTTATTTGTCAACATGGCAAATCAGTATACTTTCCTACCTATCTTTATATTGCAGTATTTCATATTTCATCATACATGTTTCATTTATTCAGCAAATTTTTCTAAAGAACTAAAACAAGCCAAAAATTCTATTCAGGTATATGAATTGAGAATTAATTGTGCTAAGTAATATCTTGTGTTGTCATCACAATCCTATGTCTACTGTTGTGTTTCAGTTAATCAAAAGTGAATCACACACGTGGCTCACCAGATACATGCTGACCATCAATGAAAAACAAACAGAATTATCTAATTATGTGAGAAAACTCAAAAACTAAAATATACTAACATACATAAATACCATGTATGAAGACTAATTAAGACAATTTGGCCCAAGATATCAAATATAAACTTAAATTACGTTCTTAGGATCTGCTAAATAACTGTCATTAAAAAAAGTAAAATTAATTCGTATCTGTTACATCACTGCATAGTAATGCTCATAATTTTATGAGTAAACTAATATAATCAACGAATATAAAGAAGATTATGAATATAATTAAGTGAATTAATTCATTCACTAATAGAAATAATTAATTGTTGTTAGTGAATGAAATAGCTTTTCTGTGTGAGTATTGAATTTAATAAAACTGTCAAGTGGCCAAAAAAGAAAAAAAAACCTGGTATGAATCTTATTGCTATAAGATCAACTTTTCCTTCAATGATACAATAATTTTAATTTTACATCCCAGGGTAAATGTAAATTTGGATACTTTACAGATAAAGATATTATAGATAAGTATTTGTCTGAGCTTTCATAAACTGATTACTCATATTAGATTTAAACATTTCTGCCGGTTTTCTACTCCTAAAACATCTTTGAAGAAATTCCAATCTTTAGGAACAGAAGAAAGCTCACCTTATTACAAAATTGTGACTGTCGATCTCTTTTCCACATTCACTATCTAGCAGAATGCCAGAATTTCCAACAACTGCACAGGTTTTAAATCTGCGATTTTTCATTGGTGAAACTTCGGGTAGGAGGCTATGCAGATCCCGAGAAATATTCAGCGTCCGGCGCCTGTCCAGCACATAGTGTATGACATCGCCAGGCTTAAAACTGCTCTTGACCACTGAGACATCTCGTTCTGCATCTAGGAAACGAAGAATGTTCTTCCTATATTTGAAATACAGACAAAGTTTTTCGTTAATGACAACATATTCAAGGACTGGTATTACCATTTACAAAGTAACCTAGGATAAAATGTAAATTGGTAAATCACTACTCTTTAATTTTCAGGTGGTAATTAAACCAACCAATTAAGCAGATTCTGTAAGAAGTAAAATATTTTAAAAAATCATTGGTACATAGTTTTTCAATGATTTTGTAAACAGATATGTAGTATACACATCTATTTGTGGAGTGAAAAAATCCCCCTCATTTATCAAAATATAAGGAAAAATTAGTTTATTAGGTAAAATATAAGTGCCATGCCTTGACTTTGCTTAACTAGATAGTATTCTGCTAGTGTTAATTCATTATCTATAGTTATCTATTTTTGTTTCATGTTGTCCAATTAAGTTGAATACAAAAAACTCAAAACTGTTTGGAATTATACCTTAGTTAACTCTATTAAAAGAATTGACTTTCCCAATAAGCTTACTAACATTTATCCAAATCATGGGTATATTACAATTATTTGAAGAAAAGTTAAAAGTATATCACTGTATGGTATATGAAAGCTTTTCTTCCAAGCTCAAGAATCCAGAAAGTAAGATGGTATATTAGAGGAAAAGACAGACAGATAGAACACTGGACCATGTGTGGCAGAGATAGCTGATCGTTCTTTCTTCCCTTTTCTTTCCATATTTGAATCCTCTCTGTTTTATATGGGCACAGAGATGCTCAGCTAGAACATTTCCAAGTTTCCAAATCCAGGTGCAGCTGGGTTTGTTTACGCGAGTTAGTTTTCTTAAACAGGATGTGAGTGGGTCACGTGCATCCCTATATGAGAAAGAAAGAAACTTCCAGCCTGTCTGACCCACTGTATTTCAAAGTCTCCTTTTTTATGGAAGTCTAGCTCATCTCATACCTAATAAGGAAACTGACAATAGATGTGAAAGGCTACATAAACATATATGCACATGCTAAGTTAGATGAAAAATGATAAAATAGAGCTGGCTGGAAAGCTGGTGATCCCTAGCATGATATTGGATAGCATCTGATATAAACGTTGTCCACAGTAATTTGGGAGTCACGTCCTGTATCTAATAAGCCTGTTGCTCTTGGAGAACTGGCTAAAAGGCGCTTGAGTGTTGTTTTATGTTGGTTGCCCCTTTTGGCAAGGCACTAAAAGAGGCGAAGCCAGGCATGAAAAAGCTGAGTTGGAAGCTCAGATGGAGGAGACTGTCTGCAACAGTCAATAATCTAAACTGTGTGATAATCCAGTAACTAGGACCTCCTAAATGTTTCCAATAACCCAATTAGCAAGAGATAGACTACAAATCAGAGCCATCCCAGCAGCAAGAGGGATACTGCCTTCTCCCCTGAGTCTACAGATTTAAAGGACTTAAAAGTCGCTGCCAGTACACTGAGGAAAAGGAGGGAGAGGACTGAATAATTAGAGGAGAATTAGAAGGCTAAAGAACTGTGTTCAGAAGGAATCTTTGGAGTTACTTATACCAGGAACTAATGACATGGAAATAGCCCAGGAGTCTAGAAAAGTTTTGAGGGAATTTTGGGAATCCTATTGACAAAGAAAACAGTGACCCTGGTCTGCAAAAGTCTGGGACTGCTTGATTCTCAAGCTACCAAACATACACCAGCTAGAAGCAGTCTGAGAAAGCACTCTCTGGGTTGGAAGTTGGTTATTATTTACTGAAGTGCTCTTGCTGCAAGCTTGTATTTTCAGAGTGCTAAAAACAATGTCATTATTATAACATTCAACATGACAGACATATTTTTCCTCTAATGCTATTATTGTTAAAGTTTCATCACTTTTGTAAACTTTGTCACTGAGCAGAAAATATGATCTCTTCCTATTACTCCATCAAAAGGGCAATTCCCCAAATCATACTTATAAGCCAGAAGGATGACTAGCAAGAAGCGATGTAAAATCACTAACTCATATCTTTCCTTTTGTTTTCTTTATTTTGGTTTGCTTTAAATAGGTCCCAGTTTAACTTGTGGTCTAATTAGAAAACCAGGTGATTAAAAACATTATTTGGCCGGATATTATATATAAGAAATATGTCCATCAGCTCACTGAAAAGGAGAATATTTTTTGAAAAAATTTTCTCAAATATTTGGAATATGAGGTTCACAAGGAGTGGAATTTGTATGGGAAAAATCTATATACATGCCCTACAAATAAAGTCTTAAAATTAATAGAAATTGTCAGACCCTGTAACAGTCATCTTAACGAAGTGCAGATTATATAAGAAGAGAATTGCTGGTGAAATCAGCAACCAAAGAATACACGAATTGCAGAAAATTAAGAGGTCTTTTATTATGTTAAGCACTTATGATTCTTCATAAAAGTTAACCACTAGCATCAAGAGCAGCAATCAACTTTTGTACGTATTTATTGAGTACCATTTATTTGGTGAAAAAATTTAGTAATGACTGACACTGTATTTCAACATTTTTTTTCATTTCCTGTGAAAATGACAAGCCTGAATCTAAAATAAAGACTGCACGGATGTGGTCAAATTAACCAAGCTAGATGGTGTTATTTTCCTTCGAACATAATTTAAAGGGTTGCATGTAACTCACAAGTAGTGACATGTTTGCAAGCGTGAAGAGAAGAGAGGTCCAGATTTGAAAGAAGACTCTTTAGCTTAGAAATCCAAAAGGGAAAATCCAGTTACTCATTAAAAAAAGAAAAAGTTAACACTTAAAAGCTTGTCAACTGAGAGCAAGAGGGACTTTCCAATAATAGCACCTTTGCTGTATTATAGAAAGCTAGCAGCAAAAATATTTTCAAACGTTAAGTCCTCTAAATCCCTGACTATAATAGAACACCTTTAATTTATTCATTCTCAGGGAAAGTTGATATAAAAAGTGAGCTCATGAAGAAAATAATGTTCAATCAGATAAATAAGTATCAAGTACAGATATTATTGTATGTATTATTCCAATGCTGTCCTACAGGCTCAACAGTAGTTTATTTTTTAAATGGAAGCAGTAAAAATAGTATAAACACTTCCTGAGAATACAAAACACTAATTCATATAGACTAATCAAAATATAAGAAGGTAAAACTCAGAAAAATTGTTAGTGTAGAATTTGCTTTCTTTTAACTGAAAGAAAGAGGGGAAAGGAAACCTTGAATGTCTCTAGTTGACTCTTTTTCTTACACTGAACCAAACTTTTAGTTTCTATTTTAGGGCTTTATCTGAGCTAAGATTCCTGGCGTAAGAAGCAAAAAAGACTGAAAATAATTATTTTGAATGAATAATAATATTGTCACTTCAATGTTTAATTTTTTTTTGGAAACAGTAAAGTTACGTTTTTCTCTCCCTTGCAGGCTGTAGGCATCTTTTAGATTATAGATGGAATGGACTACTAAAGTGCTATGGATTTGCTAAGTCTACTCGTTGTTCAGACTGTAAATGTATTTTTAAAAAAGAAAGAAAGAAGAAAATTAATGCTTAAATATAATTAACTAAATGTCATTGGGAGAATGAAAACCTATTGTATTTATGCTGAACTGAAGTAACACTTTAAAGTATCACCAAGAACACATATGCTTTGCTCAAAAGGAAATTGACAGGAATGAAAACAGCAGGTTAAAACTACTCCAGAATGAGAGAGAGAGAAAACTCCAACTTCTGGGCTCTACAGAAACATGAATCAACAAAAGCTAACGTTTAATATGTAGGCTGTACCAGCTAAGTTTTCCTAATATGTGGTCAAGTTATTACCAGATAGTTAAAGCAGGGGATTGCATTTTCTGCATGTGACTCAAAAGAGCAACAACAGAAAAGTTCTTTACAGGCCTGTACCTGTCACTCTGTAAGCATCATGTAACCTTTGAAGCCCTATTAGAAACGGAAACACCTGAGTTCAGCAACTCTTTTAGGGTAAAGATAACTGAATATATGCTGCACTTTTGGTAAGACTGAAAAACTTAATCATAAAGATTATTTTTTGTTAGGCAATGTTGGCTCAAACTGAAAGGGTGGTGTAGACTGTTAAACTGACAGGAATAGATTCTATACAGAAACTTTTCAACTGAATTTTCAAGCAGAACTTCCCTTTAAACATCACCCATCGCTTGAAATAGCAGCTGCAGAGTCCCGAGGAATTAATTTGCTAAACATTGTTTTCACTTGTGAAATGTTAAATATAGCTAACCTATCACCAGGTGCCACTCTTTCTTCTCTGTAGGTTTCTCGTCAACAACAGGCACACGTGCTACAACAACTAAAAATTTAATCTAAATGACACTGTTGACTCCGTCAATAAGTATTGTGAGGCAAATCTTACAGCTGGACTGCATCACAAGTTGAGAAACAAATTAGGTAATGATACACATACTAGGAATCTGTTTTTGCAAACTTTTGACTCCAGACAAAAATCCCTGAATCAACTCAACTGTTACTGATACAGTTTACTAAAATTAAAAAAAAAATTAAGAAATGCCAAGAGTTTCATTATGACTACAAAAAAGCAGAGAGAACATAATTTTTGTCTCAAAAGAGTATTTCTGCAACGCAACATGCCTCAAAACTCTGAAAAAAAATAACCTGTAGCTTGTTAGGGCTTCTGAGATTAGTTAGGATCCTAGCTATTATAGGAAAGATATTCTTGCTAGTATCAAAAGAAAAAAATCCTGAACACAATCAAATGAAAAGGCAAAATTGCCTCAAAAAGCTTGAAGTAAAGCACTTTTCTGATTTAATTTACATCTCAGGTGGCCATTTGGTATTTGGCCCACCCCCCAGCATTTGGTAATACTAAGTGAGTACTATCTCATACGTGATCATTTTAGAGCAAAAAACACAACCACTGTGTACTTCACAAAGATACATTTTAATAGTATGTATTATTAGTATTGTAGTTTTCCAAAAAAAATTGTCTCATGTAAGAGCTCTGGTTCTGCAGTCAGACAGGCCTGGCTTTGCAGCCCGACTCTGGGACCAACCAGTTGTGTGGCCCAAGATGTGCTCTACTGGTCACTTACTGAACAAAGTGAGTGGAAGAAATGTGCGTTGATCTTTTTCTAAAGTAAATCAATGCACACCACAGCAAATTCTTTTTGACGGGTAAAGTACATATAAATTTGCAATTATGTTTAGTCAGCCTGCAAATGCTGTCCATTCAAGAAGTTTCATATATGATGACTGAGTTGAGAATATTTTTGCTGACTAATTAATTACGATGTGCTTAATCTGTCCTGATGAGTAGCTGAGCTCATACATTTCTGTATATCCATATCTAGTATTGAAATCTTTAGACTTCTATTCAACACATGAAAAATGAGAAAAAAGAGAAACAACCCAAAGATGGAAAAAAAAAATCAAGTCACAAGTGTTGGACACAACCAAATAATCTCTCAGTACAATGTTCACAGATACTCACAATATCTGATGTATCATAAATGTGTCATGTCTCCGCTTACAATAATAAAGAACAAACTACTACCAATAAAACCAAGCCTTTAACCAAATTAATTAGTTTAATTGCGACATTAGCTGTGGAATGCATAAATTTCCCTAAATCTTGATGAATTTTCAGAGTACAATGAACTAATACACGGAACCATCTCTCCGACAACTCCCAGAGATACAGTTGTTTAATGAATATATATGAATCAATTCTTGATGTGCTTGTGAAAGCAGCAGAGTGCATATACGGCTGAAAGAATTAGTAATAACAAAGAAAATCATGTCTACAAGTGTAGGGAAAAACAATTTATCTTCAGGGACTGTTCCACATTTTAATGCAAATAGATAGATAATTTATTAAGAATGTGCACAAGAGCATTATAAGTTTAATGAGATTTTTAAAAATGAGAAAGATTTGTAAGCATAGTTCAATCATGTAAGATCAAAAACGACTAGTTGTAATGTCTTAATCCAAAACTTCGAAGAATTTTTAAAACATTTGTAAAATATGCCCATATCCACTCACAGACACAAAGTAATATGGTTCTTCATAAATGTTATAGATGTGGGGAAGAAGCAAAGGAAAATAACAATCCAAAATACCTTATGTTTCTAGCATGACTTAAAAAAAAGTTAAGCCAACAATCAGACATTTTTATGTTCTAAATTTTGTATTACAGGTGTCAAATTGATTGGTATTTACTAGTCACGACTGTTACAGGCAATTATAATTTTTATGAACTGTTTGTACATTGTACAATAATGGTTTCACAAATTATTATTTCCTTATATGGAAGTGGCAACTTTGCATGTGTTATTCAGTATTTGCTCACTGTTTTATTGTTTACTTCTTTATCTGTGAAGGAGAACCATATGGAAAGAGCACTGTCATCTCATTCATATTGTTAGCTGTTATAACTGAAAATAAATCACCCTCAAAGATATAAATGCAACCCTCATTAATTTATAAAGTTGCAACAATGAATTGCTTGGGTCAAAAGGGATTTATGTTAAATACCCTTAGCTTGAAGGCATGCTCAGATACATTAATTAAACTATTATCTTTTACTTTTTAAATTTTTATTAGACTTTCTTTTATCTGATATATTATTTAGCACGGCTAGATAATATTAATTAAACAATTACAATTTCTTATTTTACTTTACCTTCTTCCGTTAGCTTCCTTTACCTGACTTGTAGAGCCTTACCTAACTGACACCCTTCCTGCCAAATCATTCAAACTTGGAGGTTCTTTTTAGGCATTCTTATAGATCTAATATTTTCTTTTTAAATCATGTGTATTTCTTTCTTTTCAATCTAATTCCAAGAAATATAAGTCCTTACTCTGTTTAAACTCAACCACTGTATTTATGACTCCATCTAGTCTCACCTTCTGTAGCTTTGTCCTCATAATTATCTCATTTCTTACAATTTCTAAATTCAAATGTGGGTAAAGGAGTATGAGATAGTGGGGAAGATACTATGTAGGTATCGTGAGAAAAGGGAGCCCCAAGTGTAAAACTGTCAAACTAGAGTTTATGATTAGTGTTGGCTTCAGCCAACAGGTTCTCAGGAGAAATAAAGGTCCAGAATTGTCACATTTTTCAATTTCTGAAGAGTATATGAACATCTGTACTTTTAAAAGTCATCTCCTAATTTTTAATACTGCTTTAAGTTTTTTTTTTATCCAGTTGAAATAAATATTGCTTGCTGACCATATTCTACCCAGAAGACACCAATTTATAAACTGTATCAGCGTTGCACTACATCAGACTCTAGTCATCTCCTTGTTCTGGTACTCTGCCTACAAATACACAGAGTTCTCTCTGAACTAAAAGCAACAGACATATACCAGCTGACACTGCTGTGGTTTGATTCCTGTTGCCATTCCAGTCACTTTGAATGCTTAAAACAAAATAGTCTAACCATGCCTGCATTTCCCTGGCATTCATCTCTTTTTAATTCCCAGACATTCTTTGAAGTATATTTCAGTGAGTGCCTTTGCTGCAATGCATTCTATAAACTGCTATGCAAACTCTAAAGATGAGTGCAGCAGACTCTTTCTAGTAGTTATAGTTGCTTATAATCTATATTAGACGTAGATGTGATTCAAGAAGTGAGGAGGCAGAAATCCAAAGATCAGCAGCTTACCCTCTTAACCACTAACCTACCCTTACAAAATCTGTGTTACTATCCAATCATTGAATAACTAGCATTTTGCCAATACTAGAAAAATGCAATGATTGTATTATGTAAAGAATGGTTGTTCTCTTGAACTTTTTAAAAGAGCTCTGATTTACTAAAATTCTCTGATTAAACATACCAAACAATGCAGCAATGTTACTGTAGAAAAAATGATCTGCCTGCTTCCTCCATAATTAGGAAGGTCTGGCCCTAACTTTCTTATTAGAGGATTATAATCAAAGAAAACAAGATATAATGGATATGTGTGGGCAATAAGTTTGATTTTAAGAGCTGTTTAAGCTTTTAAATGCCAGAATCCTACAAAAAAAATAAACCAATACTCTAGAAAGCTTATTTGCTGATTTTTACCTACTTAGGATATAATTATTGAGAATTTTGTTACAGGAGCTCACATAGAAATACCCATTCACAGAGAAAGTCAAATTTATTTCTAATTGTTAGTAAAAGAGGAGTTGGATAGGCTCTATTTTTATCCAGTGTGAGAAAATACAAGATCAGTATGAAGATTTTAGAGAAGTTAAAGATAATTCTCAAAATATATGTCCATCCTGAGTAATAGAGTAAAGAATAGTATGTTAAATATTAGGATTCTGTTGAATATTTTATTCCATTAGTATAAAGACAGTATATTAAAAACTCACATATTCATCCTTAAATTTCTCACTGTATAATGATTTCAGTTTTATGGTTTCACATCCTTCAGTGAGCAACATTAAATAGAGCTGGTTCACTCTTATTAAAGTATTCATACTTAAACTATAAATCAAGCATTCAATGTAAGTTTGCCAAGCCCAGCGTGTTCTGGAACATGATGTGAAATTTACTATGCCTTATTAAGGAAACTCACCTTATCTCCAGGACCAAAGAGGAATTGATTTTCCAACCTTCTACAGAATGCTGGAAGATTGAAGAGCCAGCCTTTCGAGTGATTTTATCAGAACTATTGACAAGTGATCGACTCAAACACAGTTCACCATCTCTGAAAAAAAACCAAAATGTCAGCTTTGTGAAAGTAAGCTGCATTTTGTTTACGTAGCATAATACATAATTGATTTAGAGTACAGGTGACAAATTATAGATGCAACTTTTTCTACAAGTTAGAAGAACAGTTGTATGAGCATGATGGAAGGCATTATAAAGATTAGGTGAATATGGCTTTATCAGGACAATCATTTACACTTACTATTTTTGAAATAAAAATATTTTCATCTAAAGAAAAGATCTTTGTGCTATTTCAAGAAAAAAAAAAAAACTCCCATCAAAGTTCTGTTCCCCTTTAGTCCCTCCCTCCCTGCTGTGTTTAGACAATACAGACAGGATGTTTGGCCAGTTCTCCTGCATCCCAATATTGTAATTTTATTTTCACAGAAGACACAGAAATATAATGGAAAGAGCTTTTGTTCTGAAGTAAGGAGACCTTAGATTATCAGGTGATCTGGGCATGTCTGTAATTCTACCACTTGTTAGGCTGTATGTCCTTCGACAATATTCTCTTCCCAAGCTACTGTGGCCTTAGCCTAGCTTTAAAATTGCAAAAATAGTATCTAATATGCTTTGACTTCATGAGGATTGAGACTCTGTATGTGAAAGGAATTTATAAAGCACAAGTGAAGTGCTAATTTCTAAAACTGCATTGGTCTCAAAAGATCTCAACAATGAGACACTTCCTGATAGCTGGTGGTGAGGAGATATTGTAATGGAGAGGAAACCCATTCAGTAGCCGTTATTACTGGTATCTTTTATTATATCAAAAAGTCAACTGTGCTACCCTCACCAATCAACAGTATCAGGCAAGTATATCATTCGGCATGCTCATAGCAGGGTTCTGGTGGTGGTGATGATGGTGACAAATACTTATGATCGCATTCATGCCATTAGGATCTTTATAGATAAACTTATGCATTGTTTCAATAGACTATTTCTTTATACTTTATAGCTGTAAACCCAGACTCAGAGAATTAAAAAGCCACCTATTTACGGTATAGCCCTATCAATATCTGCATGTATTTCTTTACATGCTACCTTTTAATTTTTTAGAATCTCAAAAACATAGTTAAAAAGTAACATGGCTATTTGTTCAGGCACAAAGTCTAAATCTGTGTTTATTATGTAGGCAGTGCTCCCTTACTATCAATGGAAACATTGCCTATGTAACAGCTGCCAGATGAATTCTGTAACTGGAGGCTTATAGTTTGGTATTTTGGTTTGCCTTCTTTTTTAAACATGTAGTTTCAATTTGAAGCAATTCAAAACATCAAATGCAACTACTCCCTGTGAAATTAAGAACTCTATAAAAATTAATATTTTTAAATGTCCTACTGATGAAAATGATACACTTGCATGCCTATACATGGCTAATAATAGCCATTGTATCGAGGTCATTTACGATGCAAGGAAACATAGGGTGCAATTACTACTCAGTGGCTCAGAGTCAATTTTTATATTACATTTCTAATGATAAAACTACATCTGGATGAAAATTTGGATATAAAGAGTTAACCATCACACTTTAGGAGATGTGCCTTCAAGAAGCATGGACACAAACTCTCATCATTTCTCGGTGTAGGGTCTTCCCAATCTTCACCTTGCTAATAACTGGCGTATCAATACCATCTTTTTCTAATCACAGACTGCTATAATAATTATTTTCACCACCAACAAGCTTTTATATGAGAAGAAAGCTGGCATTTTAAAATATCTGTGGAAGACTGCTTTACTGACAGGTAGATACAGATACATTGCTATAAGGTGGAATGACTTATAATGTGCAGACCCTTTTCAGAACTTCTAAGATTAAAAAAAAAGTGGTTTAAAACTTTAAATCAGTTTTACATTAATGAAATGCTACCATATTACTCTGCTCTTTGAATTGTTTTCAGAGTCAAATTTCAGATTTCTATCACTGGAAAGAACTCTGAATGAAAATAGCTACAACTAGTCACACTTCTCCTTGAAGTCAATGGAATTCAGTGTGAGAAGGCCAGGCTTCCTACAATTTGAGGCTCTGGAGAAAATTTCTTTGTATAAAGTTAAATGAGTCCCAAGGGATTTCTCACTTGTGATCTTGTATTTGGTCTTAGAAAAGGCTTTTCCTTCCTGTGAATGCAAGGCATGAAGGATGTTACCACCCCCTACTAGTTTCTCATTCCAGATCACACACAACTGCTAAACAGCTGCACCGAAAACATTTCTTGCATGAAAACATTTCTTCCATACGGCTCTATACAGGAAAACTCAAAACGTACTTCTAAAGGGATAATCACTCAACACCTCAAAAAAAATAACCCAACATAAAGCAATATATACTATAAAGTATTCTTGCTTATATGGAGCTAAGAGAAATCCACTTAGTTACTTATGCGATTCCCGTGACAGAAACTAATCAATAATTATGAGTCTTTACAAATATTTTTCTCTTCGAAGTATGAATTGCCAGCATTACTACAATTTATTAATTCTGCAGTACACAACAAATATGATTAATTTTGGTTTCATGAATGTGGTCCCCAAAAGCCCTACATTCAGCCCCACCGTAAACTCTTCTTGACTTGGCTTTGGAATGAATGGGTTCCCTTAGGTTAAATTTCCTCCTTAATATAAAAATTTAAATCATTTAAATGAAAAGAACTTGCATCAGAGTAAACCTGAACACTAACAGCAGGCAGTTTTGTGTTTTCATTACTTAAGTGTTAAAACAACTAAAAATAAAGATGAGATGTACTACCTTAACTTACTGTCCATGGCTTTTAGTAGAATTCCAAATATAACATATGAAGTAACATGCAGGTTCTGGTTTCCTGAGTTACAAAAGTGTGTTCTACCCTGGAACAAACTGGAACTAACTTTGCTGACAATAATTAACACTCTAAGTACGAATGCTTATCTCCACTGTCAGTTCTACCGAAAGTTTCATAACTAATACTGGTGATCATTTAGTGAGATAACCAAAAGCACACAGTCAAATTATAAAGATTTCTAGATAATAAGAAAATTAAGTTAAAGTCTCATGGGCAACAAGGAAAAGAGTATGTGGCAAATTTTAAGGAATAATAATCAAAACAAATGTTTATATGGTATTAAAGTTAGTGTTACACTTTCATATATATTATCTCATTAAATGAGCATACCCACATATCTTTACCTATAGGACCCTTAAGTTAACACATTTCAAATTATACCCAAAGAGCACACAGAGCTAGTAAAACTATAGGTCAATTGTGAGGCAAGTGCCAGTTTTCCTATTAAGAAAAAAAATCAATCAAAAATAGACCATTTCAACCCCCAATGCCCGTTGAGTTAAACTTTATTAACTAATCAACATAAGGCAATGAATAGATTTGCTCTGAAATGAATACTTTTAAATATCTAATAGTTACCTGACTTATTCTCCAATAATTCCTTATAAAAAACATGCTGCTAGAATTCCTATGGAGATACGGGAACATGGATGGTTGGTAGGAAAGTTGTGCTCCTGTTCTTTTTCCTTCCACGTGGAATGACTGCTCAGTATTTTTATACATACATATATATATATATATATATATATATATATATATATATATAATAGAACAAGAACACTTGCACTGACTCTAGTTGGGACCCCCAGTTAAAAGGAAGGGAGGTCGAATAAACATGGCAAAAATGGTAGCAGGGAAGCTAAATATGAATCTCGGAGGATGTTCTATGACACAAGGACTACATAAGGCCCTTAAGTGAATCTACTGCCCACTCTCAAGGCACGCAGTGCCCCCCAAAGGTCAGCGACTAACGGTTACCTCACTGTTGATTACTGGCCCGGGTTTTGGGGCCAAACGGCCACTCTAGTTTACTCATCTCAAAAGAAGCCCCTCCACGTGGCTTGGAAAGAGAGTCAAAAAGACGAGTGTTTGATGAGTCAACTCCTCCACCAGCTGCACTAGTCAGGAGTTGAAACGAAATCTTCAACTGGTACCACAAGCTTTTCCTCTGAACGATTCATCCGAGGGAGGAGG